TCTCTACACTCACCATACGAAACACAGCAGTGTTAAGCTGCTATTTGACGCTGGTATTCTGTGATAGCGTGGCCCTTCCCCGGTCGAGCCGACCCATTCGTGCTACAACTATACTACTAATATAGCTGCAGCATGGCTCTACCTCGTATAAATAGTTAGAATAGTTCAATAGTTTCACTTTTATATTCAGTCAGGTTATAATCTACTTTATGGTTCACTACTTACCTATATGATTCTGCGTTCGCGCGGGTAGAGTTAAACCAATTTTAAGTCCTTATATTTGGCACATGCACCTTTGCGGGTCTCTGCTCCTCCTAATTTGAAAAGCCATGCCCCAGTTCAGTATAATTTTTCTCCGAGATTATTGCATAATTAAAAATTACATACAGGAAGTCGATGGATGCAGGTGGCTCAGGACCGTGCTTTGTGGCATTTTTAGGGGAGGCCTATGTTCAGCAGCGGACTTGTGAAGGGCTGTAACGATGGTGATGATGATGAAATTATAAAAATATTCTGTAACATCAATACGAGTTAACTAGAACATACAAGTGAATGCCTTTTTGTTCGCACGTAAACTCTGACATTATGATTGCGCGAATATTTGCTTATTTGTGGTTATTACAGAGTACGACATACGACAATTAGCAGGAAGTGGTTATTTTAATTTGCTTATGTATTACGTCAGTTGTAAATAGTAATGCATTACAGCAATCAAGGCTTTCGAAATCAAATTGGGGAATATTTGATCAATTAGCATTGGCAACAGGAACAACGATTTCCTTAAAGGAAATCGAAATGCAGTTGTATGAGGATATTAAAAAATACTGTACTTTATAATACGTAAATGAATCGAACAAAAAAACTATACATTATGCATAAGTAAGCTGTTCTATGAATTTCAGTTATGGCGGCCAGGCTTAACAGTGACTAGCCATATGCGCTGGACAGGATTATGGTGGCCGAGGGCGAGTGTGTGCGCGAACACAGGTGCACTCTCTATTCCCTCACTCTCATAGTCCGATGGGATGGTAAACCGATACGACCGAAAAGAGGTCAGTCGCAGGACCAACGGCTTTACGTGCTTTTCGAGGCACGGGAATGAAACACTGCGAACTTCTAACTCCTGGATACTATTGAGAATTTCTTGAAAGAAAAGCCCAATAACTGATTTTGACCCGACCTGGGATTGTGATTGTGAATGTGTTTCAATTGTAAATCTAAACCATTCTCGAATCAACTTAATCACACTCACACGGACAGAAGAATTATATATAGAGATAAATAAAGATATGTGTGTTTATATATATACGAGGGCGACACTGAAAGTTTTTAGAATAAAAAAGTGAATTCAAATTTTGAAAATGGAACTCTTTGCCAAAATTATTGTGTATGTATTTTTATTAATTTGTCATTTGTATACAATTTGGCGGCAAATTGAAAATTGTCTGTGTCACGTCAGCATGAATTTAACGCGAGAAAATTTTCGTACAATGATTTTTTATGACTTTCGATGTCATTTAAGTCAACAAGAAAGTTGTGATAGACTTCGATTGGCCTTTCACAATGAAGCCCCATCTCGTGCCACTGTTTACAACTGGTTTAATGAAGGTTTGTTGGGAGGCTTATATCCAGAATTGTACTTCTTAGTAGAATTAGTTACCATAGGCTATTTTTCCGGTCCAATACGACATAGGGATCTTCAAGCAACTAACCCTTATTAACAGGCCGACAACGCACCTGCGATTCTCCCGACATTTACCATGAGGTGGAATGCATACTTGTTTGCCCTCTCTCCTATAAAATTAAAGATATTACCGCACCTTCGACGCTGCTTTCCGTCTCAAATCCAGGTACCTAACCCTGGTGACTGAGAGACGAGATTTTGCAACCCCGTGCTGGCAATAAATTTTTTATAGGTTTTTCAAAGTTTTCAGGCCCATAGACATCTACATTTATCTTCGATTAAAAATCAAAATGCAGATGCTTTGTCACCTGTGAGGACTACGATGGAATGTCTCGTTTCCAGAAAAATCGTCTCCGGTTCTCTAGACTCACCATACGAAACACAGCAACGTTAAGCTGCTATTTTACGCTGGTATTCTGTGAGAGCGTGATCCTTCACCGATCGAGCCGACCCATTCGTGCTACAACCATAATACAGCTGCCGCGTGGCTCTAACACGTAAGTGGAAATCTGTTTTAAAATACCGAAACAAGACCCAATTGACTGATTAGGACAATACAATGGTCAGCATTTTAGTTTGCGAGTATTATGCATGCTTATTAACTACTAACCAAACGAGTCATCGTTCGTCACTTAACAACAGATTGTTCAGCCTAGCGTGGCGGGATAATTCTTTTAGGGTCTTGTCATCTGGCGCTTTTCAGAAAACGACTTAAAATCATGGTGATGAATATTCTGACGCAAACGTCAGACATTAATGTAAATGGGGTTGTTATAAACTAATTTTCTTAGTTCCGCGTAAAGAAAGAAAATGATGTGTCCTGCCCAGTTTTAAGGGGACCTCTCACCCTTTTTCAATTGCGCACACCATACCTGTCGCCGTTAATCCCAGCACTACCACCACCAGCACCACCACACTAGGCACGACACACCACCTTCGAAAATACGACACGTGTTTCGTCTCTACACGAGGCATCCTCAGGTGAAGTAGACTCTGCGGAGGCTGGCCGCTAAGATTAGCGGAATTAAGCAAATTAGTTTATAACAACCCCATTATAATGGATTTTCGCAAAGTAACGCCTGATTCTATCAATTATGTTAATTTAAACATTACGTTGTAGAGCCATACGCGGTAGAGTCATGCTGCAGCTATATTAGCTATATAGTTGTAGCACGAATAGGTCGGCTCGACCGGGGAAGGACCTCTCACATCATATCAGCGTAAAATAGCAGCTTAACACTGTTTTATTTCGTATGGTGAGTGTAGAGAACCGAAGACCCTTTTTACTGGAAAACAGGCATTCCATCTTAGTCCTTACGGCTGAAAACGCAACTGCATTTTGATTCGCAAACGAAGATAGATGTAGATGTCTATGGGCCACAGCAACTACTTTCCATCAGGTGGACTGTGTGCTCGTTTGTCACCCTTATTCTATAAAAAAAAAATCAATAACTAAGACAAAACTAATTCATTACAATGACCTAGTAGTCTCACTGAGATCATCGCAGCTCATGCGTTTTAGTTTTTTTCAACCGATTTCAAAAAAAGAAGGAAGTTCTTAATTCACTGTATTTTTTGTGTGTTACCACAGGACTTTTTTCTAGGTAAACCGATTTAGATGATTCTTTTTTGTTTGAAATCTGGTGCTTTTCATGTAGTCCCGTATAAATTTGATCCAGTTTTGACCAGTGATTTTTGAGATTTATCCTTAATAATTCGTATTAAATTGACTTCGACTACATTGATGATGTTCTCCTTTTATTTATATTGAAATCGGTTGTAAAAAAATTTTAATTTTACCACTTGTTAATTCTAAATATTTATATTTATTTGCTAGCTACATTTTATGATAGTACTACTACAAAACTGCATGTAAAAACATTATTAAGCTCTTCTTCTTTTCTGCTGACTTCCAAAAAGGAGACGGTACTCAATTCGACGCGTATGTTTTTTTTTATGTGTGTTACCACATAACATTTACTGGGTGGACCGATTTCAATGATTCTTTTTTTTTATATGAAAGCTGATAGTTCTCGTGTGGTCCCATATGAATTTGATCAAGGTCAGACCGATAGTTTTTGAGTTATTTGAGTTATACTTAATAACTTATATTGAAGTCGGCTGTACAAAATTTTTAATTTTAAATTATGAGAGTACTTATCGCTGATGGCCTAATTGTGTTAACAGAGTACGGTTGGTTTGATCGTACAGGTTCTTTTTCTAACACATTGTACTTAGTCTGTATAAGATTTGTGCCATATATTTTATGTATAAATTATCGGAACAAAAGTTGACAAATTAGACATCTGACAACTTATATTGAAGTTTTCTTTCATTTGAGCTACAATTTTTTTTATAATCTCAAATCTCTCTTCATTATCATGAAGATTTCAGTTATGAAAACTATATCTATCTTATGCAAGCTATATTTTTGAAACATGGATGTTACCCAACTTATCTATAAGAAATAAAGAAGAAACCCAATAAATTATGTATACCAATTAATAACGGTTATATTTCTTAATATTTAAATTATAAATATTTAAATGTAACATCACCAATGCGCTTATAGTGAACACGTTACAAACCTGTTATATTGCTGGAGATTTCAAGTTGATTAAGCGATTTTAATCATTTAGCAACACTTGTGTGTCAGCCAACGTCGTGAAAATTGTTTATATATAAACTGATTATTAGGACAAATGTTTGCATCATACAATAATGATACAAATAGCAATACAATAGCGTTACTAAATTTAATGCACATTAGATCATTTGTCACTTTTAATGATTATTATGTAATTATCAAAGTATTCGTGGCAGGTTTATGACATGTCATTTAAAGTTTTTGAAAAACGGTAAGACATTGGTATGATGAAAAAGAAAGACTATAAAAAAAACACCAATGCCGAGTCGGCGACCGCGACGGACGCGTCCTTGAGCCTTTACCCCTCTCCCGCCCCCTTCTTTGAGTTTAACCCCGCGTGTAGCACCCACCAGTCCGTGCCTCCACGGCCCTCCATATCATTACACAGACACTCCGAAATTTTCGATATCATTTATTGATCATTCAACAATAATTGCACTTAAGTAGGTAAATTACTCTAAACTACACATTTAGATAATCAGGTAATAAAATTCAATCGATTTTCGCTCATAAAAATAAATTATCAATATAATTACAATATATAGTTCCATTGGAATTCCTTAAAGCGTACAATACCTATGTACAGTAAAATCAATGGCAATTTGTCGTGCGAGCGGGAGGGGCGTATGTGCGACGCGGAGCGGCAACGTCGCACGCCTACGCACTCACTCACAACTTCTTCACGATGTCGAACTTGGACTTCAGGTCCATCGGCACCTTCTTGGGGTCGACCTTCTTCTTGGCGGCAAGATGCGCGCGCATCTCAGCCGCCGTCATGGTGAGGTTGAGGCGCGGCGCCTCTGCGTCGGCAGAGGGCGCTCTCGGCGGTGAAGGCGACGGCGGAGCTACGTCCAGCTCGGCAGGTAGAGCTTCTCCAGGCGCCGGCGCGACCACCAACAGTTCCGCATCGTCCGGGCGCTGCTTGATGCGCGCCACCACTTGCTTATGCGTCTCGCCCGCAATGCTCTGCCCGTTCACTTCGAGGATGCGGTCGCCGCGCTGCAAGCCCGCCGCCTCTGCGGGCGAGCCCTCGTCCACCTTTCCGATGTACTGGCCAGGTTTGCCCTTCTCCGCGTGCAAGTTGAACCCGTAGCCATCGAAGTTCGGCACCTTACGCACGTGGCAAAGCCGCGGCTCGGCGGCCGCCGATCCATTCGCGGACATCGCTGCGACTGCGCGCGCCCGACGTGCGGCGCGACGAGGTGCTACCCCCCCTCCCCTCGAGCCCCCTCCCCCTTCCCCGCAGCTGAGAGCCTCCGCGGGGCGGTGGGGCGCAGCCCGGCCTCCAGTGCACAGCGGGTCGCCGCCGAGGCGCGAAGTATTGTCGCGAGTGTTGTGAAAACGAGCCTTCCTGTTTCCTTCCTGCGAGTCGTCGACCTGCTCTTGTCAGAAGCGAGGGTGAGTACCGAGTAGTAACCTGCGCGGACGCAGCGGCTCCCACGGGCACGCCATTCGCCGTGAAAATTGACCCGATACCTGTTGTTTCGTCAGATGCCCCGTGTTCACGTTTCTTGCTAGCAGTAGTAGTTCACTTGGCTTCGTATCATGGTATCGTATAATGTGAACGTATTGTGTACCAAGATGTACCGTCGTTAAGAGAGCTCCGAATTAGCAATGAATGCGGTTACCGGGACACGCCTTTCTACTGGCTACACATTAATTAAATTTATGACAGTTAATGTTGCTGCATAATGAGACACGGTTCCACGGTAAAGATTCCGAGAAAAACCAAGCCAAATTCATCATTAACTCTAGATTGTGAAGTGAAGAAGCGTTCGCTACGAGCGGACGTTAACGCCAATCGGAAATCGGTCGCGTAACAAAACTTCCGTTCATTCTGAAGTAATAAACCGCTTACTAACTTACGGAATCGGTCGCTCTAATATGAATGAATCTAACTGACCTCTGAAATATGGATAAAATGAATGACATTTTCGAAATAAAATTTTTATAGGTTGTTTTTCTATAGCATAAGGGTGACAAACGAGCACAGAGTCCACCTGATCGTAAGTGGTTGCTGTGGCCCATAGACATCTACAGCTATCATTGTTTGCGAATTAAAATGCAGATGCATTGTCAGTAAACAAGGGTCTCTGGTAAAGTAAGTAGTAAGGTGATGTAGATATTCTAACAAAAACATTTGTTTAAATTCATCATACTAAGCCTAAGTCAAAACTAAGTTGTTCAAATATTGTGTTATCGATTTTTAAATTAATGATATTCATAAATTATTAACATCCGCAATTTGAAACACTTCTTCTAACCCGACAGTTCAGTCTTGATTCCGATCACAGCTAACACCGCAATGATTGCGAATTCCGCGCATACTTTGAAGTCGGCTTGATGTAAAGATAAACAGTTAACATCAAAAAGTTTACAATATCATCGACTTTATCTATATCATCTGTGATAATCGTTCTCTGAATAACACACTATTTGAGGCTGATGTTACATTAAATTATATTATTTAGATATAATAATGTCCTCCATACCGAATTTCAGTCATGGAGTCCAGTCTCAACAAAGACTAACCATATGCGCAGGTGCATCCATTTCATTCCTTCTTTTTCATATTCTGATAAGACGGTAATCTGACACGACCGGAGAGAGATTAGGCGCAGGACTAATGGCTTCATGGGCTTTCCGAGGCACCAGGATAAAACACCGCCAACTTCCTGACTCCGGGCTCGTACTGAGAATTTCTTGTCAAAAATCTAGTGCAATAGAGTATTGAAATGGCCTGAAAAACAGCCTGCGATGTTGTCGCTTTACCTTTTAGAACTAACAAGTAACAAAGGTAAAAAAAGGATCAAAATAATATCAGCGACACGCAGTCAATACAATGACAATAATTACCATTTCCTGGAATGTACTCACTCTAATATAATCGCGGGGACTAAGAGTGATTTTCAAATCAACAACGTAACATCATGTTATCCAATTGCTAATTAATAACAAACAATTTTCTCAAATGAATCAGACGTACCGCGTAATATTAAAATTAAAAAATTTGTACAATCGACTTCAATATAAATTATTAAGGACAACTCAAAAACTACTGGTCAGACCTTGACTAAATTTATACGAGACTACATGAGAAGCACCAAATAAAAAAGAGAATCGTCAAAATCGGTTCACCAAGAAAAAAGTTTAGAGGTAACACACCTAAAACAAAAACACACTTCTGTCGGATTGAGTATCTTGAGTCCTTTTTGAAGGCGGTTGAAAAATAAAATGTTGTGTCTTCCCTAGTTTGAAGAGTACCTCCCACCCTTCCTCAATTGCGTGCACTATCCCCGTCACCATTAATCCCAGCACCGCTACTCCCAACACCACTACACTAGGAAACACACATATAACGTGATCGACTTTACACGAGGCATCCTCAGGTCAAGTATACTCTGCGGTGGCTGACCGCCAAGTCTGTTTGCCGACAAATTGGCTATCCATTCGAAAATGTCCAACCCAAAACCCAGAGACTACTTACGGGACGGCCCATCAACGCATCTACACATCTTACCGTTCAATATTTGCTATTATAAAATTTTAATTTCCATCGAATACAACTTTTGTGTTTTCTCATTTATGTTTAGTGTCAAAAAATTATTAAATTGAGGCATGCTTAAAACTCTTATGAACGTCAAAATCTACACCGGTTCGGAAAACGAGATCTCAGAGAATAACTGGCATGAAACTCTGGGGTCTTTTTTTTTTAAATGCCATGTTTCGATGTCATTGACTAAATGCTAAAAATGTGTAACGAAATTTTGTAAAATGATATTTGAAATGTCAATTTAAAAAGATGTTACACAACATACAATAATAACTTTAAAATATAGTACACAAAATACAATTAACAATAGGTAGCCAGGGGACTTGCAAGTACTGATTAAGAGTTATTTCTGTCTTTAATACGAGTATAATATTTATCTATTTTAGAGTAAGGCTTTTTTAACAGAATTTCCTATTTTTTTACTTATTTTAAGCCAGTGCTCAACCACAATCCCATGGTTGTAATTGATGATAGCCCTGAATGGTTAATCTAGCGTAACAAAAGCATATTCACTTTTGCCTTGAAGACACCAATATTGTATTCCGACGGAAAGACGGACGCTAGCAAATTAGTCCACTCCTTTACTGTACGCATTACGAAAGACGAAGCAAACCGTTTGGTTCTAATACGTAGACAAAGGTGTGAAGACCCGCCAACTGGTTGTCTGATAGCTGAAAGGAAAGGGATGAATTGAAACATGTAATTCCTGCGCACACTCTTCGAACTGTATCCTATAAAATACCGAGAGGTTGGCTCGAAGCTGACAAGATTGATTTCAACCAATCAAGGTTATAAACAAGCCTCTTAGCACGTCTCTCCACTGAGTCCAATGTGCTACGAGTAGATAAAGCAAATTGTTATTTAGAACCAATATTGAGATTGGTCTTGGAACCAGTTTCAACGTCTTCACTAAAGACTCGAAACGGCATATTTTCCTTTATTATAATCTTATTATAAGCGTCTCATTGTATAGAATTAGCGATCTCTGATTATGATAGAGTAATCGATGATCGAGGACTTTGCTCGTATATGTAGACAGTTTACTGTCTAATTTATATTTTCTCGCTTCATTCTTTAGATTTAACTATAACCAGATTGTCTTTTACATACAAAGTAGCAGGATTACTTGGTTATAGTTATATATTCGAATGAAGTCTCATTAAACATCGATCGAACTTCCCTTGAGAAGGTCGTTTAATCTCATATTATTAATAATAAATGTAAGTGTAATGATAAACAGTGTAGTGGCGGTGTAAAAATATCCAGTCCCCAATGATATTATTATCTAATATATAAAATTCTCGTGTCGCGGTGTTTGTTACCAAACTCCTCCGAAACGGCTTAACCGATTTGTATGAAATTTGTGTGCATATCGGGTAGGTCTGAGAATCGGCCAACATCTATTTTTCAAACCCCTAAATGATAAGGGTTAACCACCCCTAAATATTTTTTTTTATTGACAATTTTTTTTATTATGATTTAGCATTGAAAAATATATAAAACTTCAAATTTTCACCCTTCTACTATCAAGTTCTGTTTTTAATCGCGATTTTTAAAACTAAAAAATATTTCCTAGAAATAATGTATATGGCAAAAGAACGTTTGCCGAGTCAGCTAATATAAAAAAAATAGGTTGCAGTACACCATATCGTCACGTGGGTGTCGTAAGAGGCGCCAGAGGGAAACTAAAACAGAAGATTGGCAGCAGCATCTTCCTGACAACAACTCAAAATAATAAGAAACTGCGGTTGCCAACCCGCCTGCCAAGTGTGGCAACTATGGCAAAATCCTCCCTGTCAGGCAATCTATGGGAGAATCCCATGTTTAGCAGTGGACTTTTATTAGCTGTAATGGTATGTGTAAAGATCACTTTAAAATGCCAATCTCACCGGCACGCGCTTAGGCGTCCAACGACGGTGGAAAATTTATCCAAAACTGCCGAACTCAAATTCCATAGACTTATAATGGGGTGTGTTACCTAATCACAGATATCGTGCTTGCGCTCACCCATCCGCTTGCCCAGTATGGTGAAATTGAGCTTTTGGTTAATTGGTATTTATTTATTAAATAATACAAAGTTATAGTCTTAAAAACCATAGAATTTTTTTTTATTTTATTCTGGTGATCCTGACCAGGATAATAAGATCAAGTTATTAAATTATTGTATTGTCATCGGTCCTTGATACGCGAGAAATTTTTTAAGTCAATCGGTCGTATACAAGTTGGTGAAAATTACATTAAAAGATTCCGTTATATATAGATAGATAGATACACGCGAAGGTAATAAAAGCATGTTAAACAGAGACCTATTTATGATAGAATGGAGAATGCTCGCATCGTAAGAATCAACTGAGTTTAGTGCTGAAAATAAGCAATGGTTTTGTGCAAATGCAAATACAATCTTGGCATATAGAATGCGACGTAAAGTTTTGAGACATCCAAAACATTGCTGTACTAGTAAAATAGATATGTCGATCATTGTTCATAGTTCTGTACCTCGTGCTACATAAACCATAAACTATAACAACGGGCTTATATACCTTGTTGTATTATTGGACATCCGCTCCACGGGGCAGCTTGTGTTGGTTGCCGCGCTACAATACATGGTAAA